CAAGTTGAGTTTTAACCAAAAAGTTCTATTTTGGTTTCATCTGACCGTATGACATTCTCCCAATCCTCTTCTGGATCATCCAAATGCACTCTAGCAAACTTCAGACGGGCCTGGACATGTACTGGCTTAAGCAGGGGGACACGTCTGGCACTGCAGGATTTGAGTCCCTGGCGGCGTAGTGTGTTACTGATGGTAGGCTTTGTTACTTTGGTCCCAGCTCTCTGCAGGTCATTCACTAGGTCCCCCCGTGTGGTTCTGGGATTTTTGCTCACCGTTCTTGTGATCATTTTGACCCCACGGGGTGAGATCTTGCGTGGAGCCCCAGATCGAGGGAGATTATCAGTGGTCTTGTATGTCTTCCATTTCCTAATAACTGCTCCCACAGTTGATTTCTTCAAACCAAGCTGCTTACCTATTGCAGATTCAGTCTTCCCAGCCTGGTGCAGGTCTACAATTTTGTTTCTGGTGTCCTTTGACAGCTCTTTGGTCTTGGCCATAGTGGAGTTTGGAGTGTGACTGTTTGAGGTTGTGGACAGGTGTCTTTTATACTGATAACAAGTTCAAACAGGTGCCATTAATACAGGTAATGAGTGGAGGACAGAGGAGCCTCTTAAAGAAGAAGTTACAGGTCTGTGAGAGCCAAAAATCTTGCTTGTTTGTAGGTGACCAAATACTTATTTTCCACCATAATTTGCAAATAAATTCATTAAAATCCTACAATGTGATTTTCTGAAAAAAAAATTCTCAATTTGTCTGTCATAGTTGACGTGTACCTATGATGAAAATTACAGGCCTCTCTCATCTTTTTAAGTGGGAGAACTTGCACAATTGGTGGCTGACTAAATACTTTTTTTCCCCACTGTACACTACCGTTCAAAAGTTTGGGTTCACTTAGAAATGTCCTTGTTTTCGAAAGAAAAGCAATTTTTTTGTCCATTAAAATAACATAAAATTGATCAGAAATACAGTGTAGACATTGTTAATGTTGTAAATGGCCATTGTAGCTGGAAACGGCTGATTTTTAATGGAATATCTACATAGGCGTACAGAGGCCCATTATCAGCAACCATCAGTCCTGTGTTCCAATGGCACGTTGTGTTTGCTAAATAATTTACATTGAAAAATAGTATGTTTTGAATCCGGCGTCGTTTTGCGTATCAGTTCATAAACCATGTGCCATGGTAACGGTACGTCAAAAATCGCTTCACAACTATTTTGCAATCTATATGGGACGGCTGTCAATCCTTTGGTCCTTAAATGAAACTGGTATACTTTTTTATTTATCACAATTTTCTTTAACCAATTATTGTCTTTAATGCAGGGCCGACAGACAAGTTCCTTACTTTTTCCACCTTCCACTTTCCTTATCCATTTTTGCATAATGTTTCAATTGGTATGCTATCCAACCCTGGAGTTTTCCCAGACTTAAAGTCTTTAATTTTATCCAGAAGTTCCTCCTCTGTAATTTCGGCTTCACATGAGTCTTTCTGTACGGCTGTTAATTTTACATTATCAATAGAAAAAAATCCATATAATTAGCTTCGGTTAGAGGAGATGGAGGCGACTGAAACGAAAACATATGCTTAAAGTACTTTGCTTCCTCCTTCAAAATATAATTTGGTGAATCATGGGTGACTCCGTCATTTGTAACCAGTTTCAGTCAATTCTTTTTGGTAGAATTTCAATGTTGAAGATTTAAAAAGAATTTGGTGCATTTTTCCCCATATTCCATCCAGTTTGCTTTGTTTTTTATAATTTATTACACTTGATATTTCTTGAATAAGTCCCTCCATTTCTTTTTGTTTTTCCTCTAACTTATTCTGAGCGTCTATGTTACAGTTTTTATTGGCTTATATGCATATAGGCCTACTGTAGCTCTGATTGGCTATGGGGCACCGGTCTGCGTAGACTCCAGTCCTGGGCAAAACATGTTTTTATTAGATGTATTTACTGCATTATTAATTGTCCAAATGCACTGCTGTCTTCCCACTCTATATGGCTACAGAATTTTCACAAATGCCTTAGCACATCATTCCCAAACATTCTATGAATTTATGAAAATTTGAAAATGACCATATCTAAGTGCTCACTTGTCAGAAAATGTAAAACATGGTGTCATATTCTTCCTGGTGGTTTATATGAACAGATTTTAATACAATTTCATGTTGCTAAAATGATGTCAGTTCCACTTTAATGGAGGTGCCAATGCCAAAGAGGTGCAGGATATAAGATTTTTGGGGGGAGTGCAGAGGACTGTAAGTAAATGTTAGCTTAATAACATGAATTAGATTCTGCTTTTATTAGCTAAATTATGTATTTACTGTCTGGCAATAGGTATAGCTAGCTAGCTAACTACACTGTACAATTCAATAGACTGGTACTACGTAGTCAGCTAGCTAGATATACCTATAAATAGTAAATAATTTCGCTAATAAAAGCAGAATCTAATTCATGTTAATAAGTTAACCCCATCATTGTTAAGGCTAGCCATTTTTGTCATATGATATTGGTATTTGGTCATAAGATTATGGCAAGGTTCAAAGACAGGCAATAGAGAGAGAGAGCAAGAGAGCACTGCCCATGTTGAGGCAAGGAGAGGACGAACAAGTCATCAGGTGAGAATTTGAGTTGTGTAACCAAGTAAGACGTTTCTGGACTCAGATTGCCTCGACTCCTTTAAAGTTAATTGGGTATATGAAATGTGTTATTGAAGACCATGTACTGGCCAAGCGTGGTGAAGGGTACACAAATAGAATAATGGGTTTTGACTTTTAAATGTAGTTAAAGAAGGGTTGTGGCTGTACTTTCTGAAGAGTTTAGAATAAGAACACAGTTTAAAGTAATATAGAAAAATATTGGTGTTTCAGTTGTGATTGGGGTATATTGACCAAATGATCAGGACATTTTTTGATGTATTTTCCCTTCAATATTCACCATAAACAACCATTTCAAAGCTTTTTTGTATATATATATATACCACCGGGGGGACCTCGGACACCCTAGAGGGGTGAACTGACACCGGAAACCATTGACCCTGACCCCCCAATATCAAACACAAACTTACACCCTTGCTTGTGTTGACACACACACAGCCAAAAACAGAGCAATGCACTGCCTGAACCATGGTTACCTGCTGGTTTTAAAGGCAAGCCCTGGATCAGGTTCTCAAGTGCTTGGGGGTGGGGCTCAAGCTAAGAACACCACAGTCCTGGTCAGTAATCACACACCTAGCCTACTGTACCACACCCCTAACCTGCTTGCCTATATAAAACATAGCAGGGGACCCACTCTCTCATCATACATTCTGTTCTCATCCAGTTCTGAATTCAACGTGTGCGAGGGTAATCAGAGGTTTTGTATAGTTTAGAGTAAGGACAACATGATAGGATACAACAGTTAACTGATCAATATTTTTGCATTTACAGTAGTCCCCTTATGTACATCAGTTTTCATGTTCTTGGCAGCAGCATGCCACTTGCTGTCACATGAAATTCTAAAGTAAACGTATAGCCCACTTAAAATAGTCAAATTAAGTAGCAAATAAAACAAGAACGCATAGGACTTGATGGACTCACCTGGCCACAACTTCATTGTCAACTTTTACAATGCAGTATGGGTCACTGGTCCCAGAGCTTGAGAGATACAAACATTAAAATAATAATAATAATATTATATATAATATACAAATTGAATTAAGATAGCAGCCCACTGTGCACAGAGGTCAATTCAACGTCTATTCCACATTGGTTCAGCGTAATTTAATTGAAATTACGTGGAAACAACGTTGATTCAACCAGTGTGTGCCCAGTAGGAGAGGAAACCTACAGACATCTCTTCACTTCTATTTGCTTAAGACCTTATTGATAGACATTTCTTAGAGTACACCAGTCAAGTCTACTTGTAGACTAATTTTTTACATACTATAATCTTTCAATAAGTGCTATAAAACAAAGGTATTCTTGACTTCAAACAAGTGTACGTCCTATAAGTGTACTTCACACAACGAGAAACCTATAAATAAGCAAATATGAGTAATTGCTGCCTGTTGCATAATTACAATTACGACATACTCACACGTCTTTGGCTGGTAGGCTCCTGCCCTCTACAATACGGAAATATAGGGATGTGTTTTTGGCCATTTCTGACAGAGTGGTTTTGCCACTTGTTTTCATCTGCCAATTCGCGATCCTTACAACGGTGCTCCCTATGGTGCTCCCCTCCTCAGCAAGTGTGTTCTCTTCATTTGTGGCACCTTTGGCGCGTGACGGCGCGTCGTGCACATGTTAATCAATGATGTATCGTTTGCAATGTACAGGTTTAGTATATATATAGAATTAACAGCCACGTTGCAAATTTATGATAAGCGTAGGGTCAATGTATGCAAACGAACAATGTTGTTAAATGTTTGGGTGGAAACGACCACATTTTTTATATATGTAAAGTATCGTGCCAATAACCAAATATATATTTTCTGACTGCCATTTACTTTCCTCATGTGGGTCCTTTGAAGAAAATAATTATCCCATGCGTTATTTTCGAATTTCCAGATAAAATTTGTAGCCACCTATTTTCATCCAAAAATGCAGATCATAGTAGCTACTTAAAAAAACGATACATCTTTAGGCTTCATTGACGTCTCATTAACCTGCACGACTTGCCGAAATGGCACACATTACATGGTCAACTACAGCTGGAAACCCAATCATCCTCAAGTCATCAGCGATGCTCAGCTGCTCACCTGTTGCGGCTTCACCTCACTCGATTGACAGACAGTGTGCGGCGCACGCCATCTAGCGGACGAATTACCTCGTGCAAGTTCTCGCGCCCCGCACACTCGCTTTTGTTTGTGTAAAATAATATTGAAATATTGAAATTGAACTTATCTTTGCTAATATAATAAATACCAAGAATAATAACAAAAATTCCATTAAATAAAAATCCTAGCAAAACTATGAATTACAAACAGGCATCTTATAGACAACAAACCCTTTGTTAGGGTCCTTCCACAGAGCATCAGCCGCTTGATAGCTTCAGCTACAGTAGAAATGCACAGTACTTTGTGTATACTACCTTTTGATGAACTTCTAAAGAAAAATAACTGTAGCTAGGTTACTTGGTAAGTATGTGGTTCATCTAAGCTTTTACGGTAAATGGTTTGATAATAACCAATGCTATAGCTCAGAGTGAAGCTAGCTAGCTAGCATGATGGATTGCTAACCCTTATTCATGACTCCAATTCCTTTGGGCTCCCTTGGGTTTTCGAAAGCTAGCTCGGGGCTAGCTAACAACATCATCCTTCTGGTGTAATATTATGGATTTTGGTGATTGATATGATTCTTTGACTTCACTTTAGAAAATGGAGGGTTATCCTGCGGTCTACGAAGAGCAGACCGATTCTACAAAACAGCAAGAAAGACATTACTACTTACTTTCAGAACTACAAACCCTTGTCAAAGATTTGCCCAGGTAACCAGCCCAACCAAGCACCATGGGAGAATCTCAATTGCATTTACTTTATTCCTCGCGTCCATCTAAAAGGTGAGGAATCAAGTAAATGCAATTGAGATTCTCAACATAACGTTATCTTATATGCACTCATGGTCCCTAGTTATCTACAGTTGTTGGATGTCAGAGGCATGTCAGAATTTCAGGTAGTTCAGGTAGTCCTTGTTATGGTCTGTTTGGTTCCTAGTGAATACACCCCAGGTGTTACAGAAACTAGACTTGACCTCCAGGCACAAATCTGTTTAACTATTTCTCCCACATGTCCAGCTCCTTTCAGCAGCGCCTGTCCTACACCACACTGAGTGACCTGGCTCAGGCACTCATAGACGGAACAGTGTATGATATAGTACAGGGACTCCTGGACATCCAGCACCTGACTGAGAGGAATCTGTACAACCAGAGACAAAAGCTGCACTGTGAACATCGAGGTGTGTCTCTCTTTAGGTTTCAAATGTTCTCTGTCTTATTAAAAAAAAAACATTTGAGTGTATGTTGGTGTGCCAGGGATCTGAGGTCATTCACCATTACAATGTCTCAATATTCTCTTCCTCATGCCCAGCACTCAAGCAGGATTTGGTTCGTAAGCATAAAGAAGCCCTACAGGTTTGCAAGTCCCACAACCTTGCAGTTATGAAAACCAATCAACAAGGAGAAACAGAGGTATGGAATTGACAAAGCATCATGCCATTATTAAAATTCAGTTTTTCTCTGACTGCACACTATTTTGTTTGATGTGCAGTTAAATTAGTTTTACACATGTTATCCAAACATCCCTCCATCTATATCACAGCCACATCGTTAATTTCTATTGATCATGTCTGAGGACATTATGATTGTCTCTATCAGGCTCTGGAGAGTCGAGTGAGAGAGGAGCAAAGGATGATGGATGAGAAGATTGTGGTGGAGATGGACCAAAAGGTGATAGACCAGCAGAACACCTTGGAGATGGCTGGAGTCCCAGGGTTCTACATAACCACCAATCCCCAGGTGAATCAAAACTTTAAATGTACATTCTAGTGCATATGGCAGATACATGAAACATAATGGTTAAATGTCATTGTGTGCCTCTACATAAGCCCCTACTCATAACCAGATGTCTATTCTATCAAATAATATGGTAGATTTTAGTTTGTGTCACCATTCTAATGTTGACGTAATCCTGATTATTTAGATAAATGTATTGCCTTGAATTCTAGAGAAATTATTTGTTCTGCAGTTTGAAGTGTTGAAAGCTAAGTACACTGCCATTGGGGTCAGGGGGTGAAACACAGATTGCAGTGCAGAAACATTTCCAGTAGATGGTGGTAGAGGCTCTCTCGTTCCACCATTGTAACAGACCTGCTACGCTGCAGGCGTAGCCAAAGCACCCCATTATTGTGTGGTTTTAGCTGCTTTACTGGAAGCATATCCTGGAGGCAGTGCAAGCAGAGCCCCAGCCACTTTAAAGGGATACTGTGAGATTCCGGCAATTAAGCTGTTTTTCTACTTCCTACTGTACCTGTAGACTTCCAGTAATTGCGCCAACGCTAATTAGCATTGGCTTGCGAAACTACCTCTAACTTCCTTCATACTGCACACAGAGACATAAAAATGGTACCCACAAGTTAATCTGACTTAATTGCCAGAATCTCGCAGTATCCATTTAAAGTGATTTTGGGCGAGAGCTGCTTATCAAATTCTTGTTTTTGCAGGACTGCACTGCTCATGTGGCCAGTGTAGCAGGCTTCGTTGACAGCAAAAGTTGCATGTCCAGTGTAGTAGTAGGTCTGTAATGACTCGGGAGGTTTCATGTTCCCTTCTTGTCATTTCAGGAGCTGACGATGCAGATGAACCTGCTGGAACTGATCCTTAAACTTCAACAGAAAGAATCACAGTCAGGAGTTCTGTCCTGAGAGACAGACAGACCGCCAGGGTCTGATTGTGTTAAAGCACTGGACACTAAAGAGCATATCCAAGAGTGGATTGACACTTCAAAGAGCATCCTGTCCTTTTGTTAGTGAGCACTTGAGCAGGGCTCAGGATTCACGTTCACTTCCAAAATGTTCAGGTTCATGTCCTCAGGAGCTGTATGTGTTCCTTAAATGCACATGGAAACCAAGAAGTTGTATTGCTTTGTGATTCTATGTAGAAATCACTGGTTCTGGATGGCAATGGGGCTGTGATGAGAGTGCAGGAATTTGAAAAATCACTGAAAGCTGTAGATACGTTTCTATTTGTGTTGCCACTCACTCACACAGATGAAATATGGAAATAATTAATATTATTCATCCAAGTTGTCATGTTCATGATGATATTAAATTATTATTTTTCATTCATGTTAATCAGCATTACATGTTTACCATGATTTTGGCCACTGTAAAATGTGTTCATGAAATAGTCAATTTACTTTGATTATTGAGACTCATGTTTCATTATTAGTCTAGTCAGTGACAATAGGGTCAACCTACATTGGTTAAAATATATTAAACTGACTAGTACTATACAAACTTGGAGGACTTGAATATAATTTGCATTCTGATACTATAGCATCCAGTTATTTGTTACTATGGTAGATGAATACTTCTGACAGCTTCAAACTTTACTTTAAGCCTATACACTTGTGGGAATTGGCAATATGGATAGAGCTAAATTGAAATGTTTCTTACAGAATAAATATGAAAAGCATATCCAAAACCATGGTAGCAATTACAATTGAAGAGTTTGGAGATTATGGGAAAATGATTAGACTAAAGGTGAGGACACAATAGTTCACCTGACACAAGACTGAATTCAAACATTACACTCTTGATTTTATGTGCATTTTACAATTTCTGTACTTTTCACTGTATTTGTTCATAACGAAATCTTAAAATACGCAGGATACATTCAATAACAAGAATATTCATGGTAAAATGTGGGGTTGGTGCAACATAAGACACGAAAATGACAAGGGTTTGAGTGAGAGGTCTAACTGGTGTCTCCAAGTTGCAACAGATCTCTCCAAAGTGTTCACAGTTCCTAAGTCATTTCAATGCACCTTTATGACTCAAAGAATAATCTTAAACTATAAGGTGCTTTTTTGATCTCTCTTAGGTGTTCCATTGAGGAACTACTAGAGCAAGCACACTAGTATTTGTTTTGTTTGGAACACAGCCCTGCATCCCAGCCATCACATAATAACTGTTGTTGTTTACACAATCCAAAAACGGTCCATTAAAAATCGCAATCTGGGTCAGGTGGACATCAATTTGAAAGCTTGTTCTATTGCCAACATGATTAGCAAAATGATAAAATCCGATTTTACAGTGTTAGGCTTTCACAAGGCAATTCAAAGAAGCAGATAGTAATTTTGGTGCGCATAGAATGGATTCGTGAGTGCATTTAGGTGCGTGTTCCACGGCCAATTTTCTTCACAATAGACAAACAAAAGCTCATACTGTTCAGAACAACCCAGAGTATGATGCCATGTCATCTTGTAATGTCATCCACACACAATACCCCATAATGTCAAAGTGAAATGTTTTTAGTCATTTTTACAAATTAATAAATAATGAAAAGCTGAAATGTCAATTCAACAACAAAGACCAGGGAGGTTTTCCAATGTCTCGCAAAGAAGGGCACCTATTGGTAGATGGGTAAAAATAAAAAAGCAGACATTGAATATCCCTTTGAGCATGGTGAAGTTATTAATTACACTTTGGATGGTTTGTCAATACACCCAGTCACTACAAAGATACAGGCGTCCTTCCAAATTCAGTTGACGGAGAGAAAGGAAACCGCTCAGGATTGCGCCATAAAGCCAATTGTGCTTTTAAACCAGTTATGGAGTTAAATGGCTGTGAAAGTAGAAAACTGAGGATGGATCAACAACATTGAAGTTACTCCACAATACTAACCTAAATGACAGTGAAAAGAAGGAAGCTTGTACAGAATAAAAATATGCATCATGTTATGGGTATGCTTGTCATCAGCAAGGGAGTTTTTTTGGATGAAGAAAATAAATAGATTCAAGCACAGGCAAAGTCCTAATATGCAAGGCCAAATATACAGTGGAGTTACTTCCCAAGATCACATTGAATTTCCTGAGTGGCCTAGTTACAGTTTTGACTTAAATCGGCTTGAAAATCTATGGCTGCCTAGCAATAATTATAACCAACTTCACAGAGCTTGAATTATTTAAAAAAGAATAAGGGCAAGTATTGTACAACCCAGAAAGACTCAGTAAGACCCAGAAAGTAAACGCTGCCAAAGGTGATTCTAACATGTATTGACTCAGGGAGTTGAATACTTATCTAATCAAAATATATTAGTGTTTCATTTCAATTAATACTTTTTCTTCCACTTTGACATTACAGAGCATTTTGTGTAGATCGTTGACAAAAAATGACAATTAAATCAATTTTAATCCCACTTTGTAACACAACATGTGGAAAATATGTGGAAAAAGTCAAAGGGTGTGAATACTTTCTGAAGGCATTGTATGACAACAATCCATGCTTTGGTTGAGTTTCCCTGGTACTGTATCCACATGCTAATGTTTTAGCATTTGTGGCACAAATGCTAATGTTTTAGCATTTGTGGCACAAATCCAATTAAAGTCATTTGACCGATATTAGCATTTTTCAGCATCATGTTCAAAACATCTATAAGTGACTTTGTAGAGCTTCACAATCAATTTTAGATACTTTCGGATTATGCTAATATCTGTCCCATGATTTAAATGGGATTTATACCATTGTGCTAAAACGTTAGCATGTGAAAACAGTGCCAGGGAAACTAAACCAAAGCATGGATTGTTATCATACCTTGTCCATACACTGCTTGCAAGGTAAGGAAACCAATGTGTAATTTAGGTGATCTATTCCTTTAAACACTGGCTGTCCACAGGCCTTGTAGGTGCATTCCTCTTCCCAGGCATTACTGACTTATTGGGGCGGCAGATAGCTTAGTGGGTAAGAGCGTTGTGCCAGTAACCGAAAGGTCGCTGGTTCTAATCCCCGAGCCGACTAGGTGAAAAATCTGTCGATGTGCCCTTAAGCAAGGCACTTAACCCTAATTGCTCCTGTAAGTCGCTCTGGATAAGAGCGTCTGCTAAATGACTAAAATGTAAAAATGTTATTCCAGATCTTATAACTTGTGGATAGGTATGTTAACTTTCGGCTAACCACATCATTATGTTCTAACAATCTGTCAGTAGGTGATACAGTCGATGACAAGGCACGAAACCATTGGTTGATGCATGCAATGTCTGAGAAGGGAATGCGACCCTTGTCTGATGGCTGATCCCATCGTCATCAGATGAAGAATAAACCCGTACTGTGCCTTTAAGAATCGAGAGCTCAGCTCACTATCCTGGTTCTCCACCTCCCTCCCTGTCGTTGCGCTTCAAGGGATATCAACCAGGCGTGAGTTAGGCTACTGATAAGCGATATTCATCTTTCAAGGTAAACCAATAAATTAATTTGTTACCATATTAGAGCGTTTTATATTACACTCTATATGCAGAAAAGCAGTAATGGTTGTGTTTCTCACCTGGCTTTTGCTATAGGCAACCTATTCAACCACCTTGTTTGTGCCATAATAAAACAATATAAAACGTAACATTTCATAGAATAGTCAGCAATCGTTTTATTGAAATACCTTATCGTTTGTCATTAATAAGATTTGCATGAGTTTCCATTTTCTTTTACATTATTAATGTGGCTTTTGTAAAAACGACGCACATAAAGCCATTCATTCTCGCCTTGACCTTACAATTATTACACACGAATCACCCGGTTATTATAGAGGACGGATGTATGGGTCGGTGTTTATTTCTAGGGAATAAAAGCGTTACGTAATGTATTTCTAGCATTGAGGCAGAACTCCGCCGCCCGCAGTCGTCGGAAACGGTGCATCAAAAAAGTCGGATACGGATATTTCTAAATGTATTCTATCACATAAAGCGTCCATTGATGATTGATTTTGGTACAACAGCGTTAAACCTAGACAAACAGTTGTGTATGAATATGGTTAGGCTACTTTTATTGTATTTACTGATATAGGACGCTTTCAGTGTCATTACAGGAAGCTGAATATAATAGCCAACAGGCCTACCATCGTTAGGCCTATTGGACTTCCAGTGACTATAAGACGTGTCAAACATCCAGAGCAGATCAAACACAGAACTCTTTAGTATGGGCAGTTATTAATCAGTCATAGACAGAGAGATCACATTTGTTAAATTGCATACTTTATAGCTTTATTTATAGGTTTTACATTACTCAGATAGGCCCAACATACATTTATTAAGCTACCCCACATAAGGCAAATACGAAAAATCTGCAATTCTGAAAATGTAGTTTTCCATTTTAGTTTCCACCTTTGATAAGGGCAGACATCAGGCAGCAGTGTGGATAGGTGATCGATGGATGAGTCACTCAGAGAAAGGTTGAGTTGCTTTTGTCTACCTGCTCTGAAGTCCCAGAGTCAATGATGGCTGCTTTGTCCCTGCATGATGGCATGCATGTGTGTTTTTGTCTCTCAGGTTAGTCGATCAGGAGAAGAATGGATCCAGTTTGAGCATCTTGACTGATAAGACCCTGTCCAGTTGCTGAGGGTGATCCTGTAACCATGGCGACCTGCGGGCGTGGCTGTGTCCCGGCAGTGCGTTTCTGCCAGAGGCTGAACCGACTGAAGACCCTGGATGATGACTTAATGGTGACGTCAATGAAGCGCTGCCTGACCATGGTGGACCTGGCCCTGCTGGGTGTTGGGGGCATGGTGGGCTCTGGCCTCTACGTCCTGACTGGCACTGTGGCCAAGGACACCGCCGGACCTGCCGTGGTCCTCTCCTTCCTCATAGCAGGCATCGCCTCCCTGATGGCCGCCCTCTGCTATGCAGAGTTCGGAGCTCGCGTTCCCAGAACGGGCTCGGCCTACATGTTCACCTATGTTTCTTGTGGAGAGATCTGGGCCTTTCTCATTGGCTGGAACGTAGTGTTGGAGTACATGATTGGTGGGGCTGCTGTGGCGCGGGCATGGAGTGGTTACTTGGACTCCATGTTTAACCACACCATCCAGAACTACACAGAGAACCACATAATGAAGTGGAATGTTCCCTATATCGCCCACTACCCTGACCTGCTGGCCGCCGGGATTCTAGTTGTTGCCACCATCTTCATAACCTTCGGAGTGCGAGTCTCCTCTTGGCTCAACCACATCTTCTCCGCCGTTAGCCTGCTTGTCATACTCTTCATCTTGGTGTTTGGCTTCATGCTGGCCGACCCAGTCAACTGGAGCCAGAAGGAAGGAGGTTTTGCACCGTTCGGTGTCAATGGGGTGATGGCGGGCACAGCCACCTGCTTTTACGCATTTGTTGGCTTCGATGTGATTGCAGCTTCCAGCGAGGAGGCAAAGAACCCCCAGCGAGCCATTCCCATGGCCACAGCCATTTCCCTGGGCATGGCAGCCACAGCCTATATCCTGGTCTCCATTGTCCTCACTCTCATGGTGCCTTGGCACTCGCTTGACCCCAACTCAGCCCTGTCTGATGCCTTCTTCCGCCGAGGCTACAGCTGGGCTGGCTACATTGTGGCAATAGGGTCCATCTGTGGTAAGTGTCTCTTGAAAGACTGTTGCCACACCAATGTTAGCCTCGCAAGCCGCCTGATATCGCAAGCTTACATTAATGGTTTGCTACCACGGAATCATGATAGCACAGCGGTAATCAGTCTGGTAATTACGAGGCTACACCAATGTATCATGTCATTAATTTTATTTTGGTTAGTTGATGATATAAGTGATTGAAGGGCAAATGTGTATGACTTTTATTTATTTTGACTTCATACAGTAGCGGTCTTGCACTGATAATAATGTGACTCTCTGTCCATCCCCTCTTCCAGCCATGAACACAGTGCTCCTCAGCAACCTCTTCTCCCTCCCTCGGATTGTTTACGCTATGGCGGAAGATGGCCTCTTCTTCTCCTTCTTCGCCAAGGTCAACCCTGTCACCAAGGTCCCTATGAATGCCATCTTGGTATTTGGCCTCCTCATGGCCATCATGGCCCTCATCTTTGACCTGGAGGCCCTGGTCCAGTTCCTGTCCATCGGCACCCTCCTGGCCTACACCTTTGTGGCAGCCAGTGTCATCGTGCTGCGCTTCCAGCCTGAGAAGGAGAAGACCAGTTCCAAGGCTAACTCCACTACCTCCCCCAACCCCAACTCTAACCCTGAGCCCTCGCCTGAAGCCTCAGAGTCTCAGATCATATCTCAGGACAGCGGGGAGCTGAAGGAGTACGAATCCTTCTCAGACAAGTTGCAGCTGGTGGAGATGCAGAAGACCAGGGAACGGAGTGCCCCAGGGGTGTTGAAGGCCCGCTGGGAGCCCTACCTGGGCAGGGTGCTGGGGGACTTTGAGCCGGGGGAGGTGGTGGCCTTCTCTGTGCTGGCGGTGATGGTGAGCTCTGTGTCCCTCTGTGCCGTGTTTGTGTTTGGGAGTAACCAGCTCCAGCTGCCTACGTGGAGCTTCGCCCTGCTAATAGTGGTGTTTGGCTCAACCTTCCTCCTCAGCCTGGTCGTCATATATGCCCATGAACCTCATATCAACACCAAAACCTTCCAGGTGAGCCAAACAGATTCTCACTTTTGCATTTTATGTCTGCTCATATGCCCAAAGTTTACATGCAAAGCAGTTCACAACTTTGTTGACTTTCCCTTGTATAGAATAGTGTAAGCCCACTCATAAAGTTAGGGAAGCAGAACTAAACCCTCTCCTTAGAGTTATTAGCTGTATAATGTTGTCTGCCTTTTATATTTCACTAAGTCCTTATGTAGCTATGATAAACTGATACTACTCTTTATGAGTTTTAGGTCTCTCACAGACTAATTGTAGCTGTTGATACACCTCAGGTGAGATAAACCCTGCTCAGTCTGATTAGAGCCCAGACTGACTAGAGCCCAGAAGACAGGGACTCAGGGAGCCACATTATCAGCCAGCTCTTAGACTGAGTCCCAGCAGACACTCACTCTCCTCATATAAAAGAAAAGCTGTTTCTGTGACTGATATCTGAGAGGCAGACATTTCTGTGAGCTCAAGCAGGACCCACGTACCCCCTGGCACCAACCCATTATGACATTTTGTCACGAAGACCTATTAATTCTGCTGAATTATATTAAGTGAACCAAGCTCTATTAATCTTTTAGTCAAGACTAGTGGTCTTTTTGGCTCTCCAGCTTCCTTTTTGTCAATGACAAACACTTATCGAATTGAGGAAGGCTATGATTATTTGACACATTTTAATGTATGTCAGAATGGTTGTTTGCTATTGTAATTTTTCTAGGTACCCTTGGTCCCATTCATTCCCGCTGCAAGCATCCTCATGAATGTGTTCCTAATGCTGAAGCTCAGCCCTATGACCTGGATCCGCTTTACTGTATGGGTGACTGCAGGTAAGATTACGTCCGCTAATGGCACAAATATGTGTTGTGTAAAGACCATGTGCTATGTAGCACAGACGGGCCTTGTAAGCCAAACATCATGTCAGGCAGAACTGAAATGGTTGCATTCAGTGGTTGAAATACTGTGCCTTTTAACCTAAATGATCGACAAATATTGATTGATGATAAATAGCAGGATACGAAACAGGGTTTTATACCTACAGGGTTTTGTACATAGTACATGTTTGTATTAAAACATCTGCAGGTTCAGGGCCTCCCGAGTGGCACAGCGGTCACTACAGACCTGGGTTCGATCCCTGGCTGTATCAAAAAGGGGGTAAAAAAAAAAAGAAAAATACATCTGCAGGTTTCTTGAGGGTAAACCCACCAAGTAAACCTATGGCAGGACAGTTTGTTTTCTAGCCAGCACCTGCTGCAGTGAGAAGGTATTAATTGGCTGTAGAGGTTGCTGTCATCAAAGAGGATCATCAAGGAAATATGAGTGGCTATATGGGCTCAGAGATCTTCTGGACCATGTAAACCATTTAAACACACCTGTCTGCCTACAGAGAGTTCACTGGCTTCACAGGGAATATTGGACATGACAGGGGCTTGGGCTAAGCCATGTCTAAGTAATCATTTCCCTGGTGAAAGTTATGTGACTATAACACACAGCTGGGATGGGCCAAGATGTATCTATAGGCTGTGGTGACTGTTGACCACCACCATATTCCTGCTATAGCTGTATGTTCTCAACAGTGTTGCACATACAGTATGATAACAATAACAACATGTCTGTGTGATTCTGATTATGTAAGCATACAGTGGGGAAAAAAAGTATTTAGTCAGCCACCAATTGTGCAAGTTCTCCCACTTAAAAAGATGAGAGAGGCCTTTAATTTTCATCATAGGTACACGTCAACTATGACAGACAAATTGAGAAAAAGAAATCCAGAAAATCACATTGTAGGATTTTTTATGAATTTATTTGCAAATTATGGTGGAAAATAAGTATTTGGTCACCTACAAACAAGCAAGATTTCTGGCTCTCACAGACCTGTAACTTCTTCTTTAAGAGGCTCCTCTGTCCTCCACTCGTTACCTGTATTAATGGCACCTGTTTGAACTTGTTATCAGTATAAAAGACACCTGTCCACAACCTCAAACAGTCACACTCCAAACTCCACTATGGCCAAGACCAAAGAGCTGTCAAAGGACACCAGAAACAAAATTGTAGACCTGCACCAGGCTGGGAAGACTGAATCTGCAATAGGTAAGCAGCTTGGTTTGAAGAAATCAACTGTGGGAGCAATTATTAGGAAATGGAAGACATACAAGACCACTGATAATCTCCCTCGATCTGGGGCTCCACGCAAGATCTCACCCCGTGGGGTCAAAATGATCACAAGAACGGTGTGCAAAAATCCCAGAACCACACGGGGGGACCTAGTGAATGACCTGCAGAGAGCTGGGACCAAAGTAACAAAGCCTACCATCAGTAACACACTACGCCGCCAGGGACTCAAATCCTGCAGTGCCAGACGTGTCCCCCTGCTTAAGCCAGTACATGTCCAGGCCCGTCTGAAGATTGCTAGAGTGCATTTGGATGATCCAGAAGAGGATTGGGAGAATGTCATATGGTCAGATGAAACCAAAATATAACTTTTTGGTTAAAACTCAACTCGTCGTGTTTGGAGGACAAAGAATGCTTAGTTGCATCCAAAGAACACCATACCTACTGTGAAGCATGGGGGTGGAAACATCATGCTTTGGGGCTGTTTTTCTGCAAAGGGACCAGGACGACTGATCCGTGTAAAGGAAAGAATGAATGGGGCCATGTATCATGAGATTTTGAGTGAAAACCTTCTTCCATCAGCAAGGGCATTGAAGATGAAACGTGGCTGGGTCTTTCAGCATGACAATGATCCCAAACACACCGCCCGGGCAACGAAGGAGTGGCTTCGTAAGAAGCATTTCAAGGTCCTGGAGTGGCCTAGCCAGTCTCCAGATCTCAACCCCATAGAAAATCTTTGGAGGGAGTTGAAAGTCCGTGTTGCCCAGCGACAGCCCCAAAACATCACAGTACTAGAGGAGATCTGCATGGAGGAATGGGCCAAAATACCAGCAACAGTGTGTGAAAACCTTGTGAAGACTTACAGAAAACGTTTGACCTGTGTCATTGCCAACAAAGGGTATATAACAAAGTATTGAGAAACTTTTGTTATTGACCAAATACTTATTTTCCACCATAATTTGCAAATAAATTCATTAAAAATCCTACAATGTGATTTTCTGGATTTATTTTTCTCAATTTGTCTGTCATAGTTGACGTGTACCTATGATGAAAATTACAGGCCTCTCTCATCTTTTTAAGTGGGAGAACTTGCACAATTGGTGGCTGACTAAATACTTTTTTCCCCACTGTATGTTTGAGACCTAACAGTATGTGTTGCACCTCTCCAGGTCTGCTCGTGTATTTTGGCTATGGGATCTGGCACAGTAAGGAGGGCCTGAGGGAGCTGCAGCCCAAGGATATGGCAGCCAGGTATGTGGTGCTCCCCAGTGGCAGCCTGGTAGAGACAGTCCAGTCTGTGCAGCCGAACGGACAGCGGGACGCCAGCACCCTACACACCACCCCCTCCCCGTCTGCTGAAGAGCAGCAGGCAAAGAGATGATGTGTAGGAAGGTAGCCATTCTTATTCAAGTGGGCCATTATCGTCTATCTGCTCCTGCTCCTGCTCGTATACTTTTACTGCTTTCATTACCTCACTCTCTTCTCTTCTCACCCCTCCCTCATGTGACTGGCCTAATACAGTTAGTGTGTAACCGCACAAGGCTCTGTTTCTCTGCATTAGTAAACACACATCACACGATGGGACTCACTCTCATAATGAAACATATATTTATATCTGTTAATATGGGAACATACCTTTATAGCTATCCAGCATTGTTTAGGATATTATTTACCGGTATTTCAATTAACCAGCACAGGTGTTTTTTCCTTGTTAGCATTGCTCTCAACTTTAACGTCCCTTTGTCACTCACAATTGAATGTTTTTGGAAGATGGAAAGTGCTTATGATCATGGCATACATTGAGTCATGATGAAGAAAAAATTAATTTGCTGCACTTTTTGTTTTGCAAGCACAGGAATGAATGGACCTTTGTACACATACAGTGGGGAAAAAAAGTATTTAGTCAGCCACCAATTGTGCAAGTTCTCCCACTTAAAAAGATGAGAGAGGCCTGTAATTTTCATCATAGGTACACGTCAACTATGACAGACAAATTGAGAAAAATAAATCCAGAAAATCACATTGTAGGATTTTTAATGAATTTATTTGCAAATTATGGTGGAAAATAAGTATTTGGTCACCTACAAACAATCAAGATTTCTGGCTCTCACAGACCTGTAACTTTTTCTTTAAGAGGCTCCTCTGTCCTCCACTCGTTACCTGTATTAATGGCACCTGTTTGAACTTGTTATCAGTATAAAAGACACCTGTCCACAACCTCAAACAGTCACACTCCAAACTCCACTATGGCCAAGACCAAAGAGCTGTCAAAGGACACCAGAAACAAAATTGTAGACCTGCACCAGGCTGGGAAGACTGAATCTGCAATAGGTAAGCAGCTTGGTTTGAAGAAATCAACTGTGGGAGCAATTATTAGGAAATGGAAGACATACAAGACCACTGATAATCTCCCTCGATCTGGGGCTCCACGCAAGATCTCACCCCGTGGGGTCAAAATGATCACAAGAACGGTGTGCAAAAATCCCAGAACCACACGGGGGGACCTAGTGAATGACCTGCAGAGAGCTGGGACCAAAGTAACAAAGCCTACCATCAGTAACACACTACGCCGCCAGGGACTCAAATCCTGCAGTGCAAGACGTGTCCCCCTGCTTAAGCCAGTACATGTCCAGGCCCGTCTGAAGATTGCTAGAGTGCATTTGGATGATCCAGAAGAGGATTGGGAGAATGTCATATGGTCAGATGAAACCAAAATATAACTTTTTGGTTAAAACTCAACTCGTCGTGTTTGGAGGACAAAGAATGCTTAGTTGCATCCAAAGAACACCATACCTACTGTGAAGCATGGGGGTGGAAACATCATGCTTTGGGGCTGTTTTTCTGCAAAGGGACCAGGACGACTGATCCGTGTAAAGGAAAGAATGAATGGGGCCATGTATCATGAGATTTTGAGTGAAAACCTTCTTCCATCAGCAAGGGCATTGAAGATGAAACGTGGCTGGGTCTTTCAGCATGACAATGATCCCAAACACACCGCCCGGGCAACGAAGGAGTGGCTTCGTAAGAAGCATTTCAAGGTCCTGGAGTGGCCTAGCCAGTCTCCAGATCTCAACCCCATAGAAAATCTTTGGAGGGAGTTGAAAGTCCGTGTTGCCCAGCGACAGCCCCAAAACATCACAGTACTAGAGGAGATCTGCATGGAGGAATGGGCCAAAATACCAGCAACAGTGTGTGAAAACCTTGTGAAGACTTACAGAAAACGTTTGACCTGTGTCATTGCCAACAAAGGGTATATAACAAAGTATTGAGAAACTTTTGTTATTGACCAAATACTTATTTTCCACCATAATTTGCAAATAAATTCATTAAAAATCCTACAATGTGATTTTCTGGATTTTCTTTTCTCATTTTGTCTGTCATAGTTGACGTGTACCTATGATGAACATTACAGGCCTCTCTCATCTTTTTAAGTGGGAGAACTTGCACAATTGGTGGCTGACTAAATACTTTTTTTCCCCACTGTACCCATGTACAAACAAATATTCTAATTTTCGCTTTGTCTAAAATCCTATTTTCCCTAACTCTAACCCTTACCCTACAAACAAATATTCTAATTTTCGCTTTGTCTAAAATCCTATTTTCCCTAACTCTAACCCTTACCCTAACCTTAACCCCAAAACCTAACCTTAACCCTAACCCTGGCTCCTACCCTTAAACTAACCCTAGCTCCTAAACCTAATTCTAACCCTAACACTAATTCTAACCTTAACCCTAAACCCACTAGAAATCGCATTTGACTTTGTGGTTACTAAAAAAAATTCCCCAGTTGGTAAAATGCCTGTTTGTTTACTATTCTTATGGGGACTTCTGGTCCCCACAAGTATAGTTAAAGACGTCCACACACACACACACACACACACACACACACACACACACACACACACACACTCACTCACACTCACACTCACACTCACACTCACACTCACACTCACACTCACACTCACACTCAGACACACACACACACACACACACACAAATGCATTATTCTCGCCTGAGGAGAGAGTAGGTTCTGTCAGTGGGTCATGTGGCTCTACTTACAACCCCTGGGACCACCTCTGTAGCTCCCTCATACCCACACACTGGTGGCTGCTCAGCCAAATGCAAATCAACTACTTTGCTGAAGTTTCTTAAACATACTTTTTCTGTTTTAAATAATGTTTTGATATTTATCTATTTTGTGTATTCTCTGAACTGTGAAACATTTTATTTTTACTTTTCACTGATGATGGCATCTCTCAGATGGTACTGTCTTTAATGAATATGTTTCTTTCCCTATTCAGTGACTAGGCCAATCAGCATATCACACACATATTATATTATGGGATGTTTTTGTACCTCGCTTCGTATCATAGTGACCCGACTCCACTTGAGATGGTCAAGTGACAATTCTTCTAATGGTGAGAAGACCTTTCAACCTCTCACTTAATCCACTGACTCCCATCCCATGACCTCACTCTCTCTTATGTGTCCCAGATTTTGCAGTCTCAATCAACTTAATCTCTGCTGAGAAGGGTTTTTTCCCATGCACAATAACTAGACAGCGGCCCATTTCCCGTCGCTCTGCTAGCATGAGGTTAGATTATACAACCAGCTGATATAAAAGCACATGGATTGTTTTAGCTATTGTTTTGTTCTCATTTCTCCTCATACACAAGATGGAAAACGAGAGTTATAAACGTATGTTTTAATATATGCTTTTTGTAAGGCAAGTACAAACCCAGTGCATGATGTACCTGAACAGGGTGTTTGGTGGTGGTGCTGCTGCTTTAAAGCATATTGACAAACAGAGATCGGGAGTTTTGCCAGACTATGCCAGCCATAGGACATCCCTCATCCTCATGAAGCCTCTGTAATCTGACAGATTTGCTGCGGTCCCTGCAGCTGCCTAATAGTTTGACCTAGATTATAAAACACGCATATGTTAGATCACTCTCAGTCACAGTGCTGGATTACACTGACTGTTTCAGAGGGATAGCACTCTCACCCACAGTTACTCCCTACCCTATCTGCTAGCACAGTGTCTAAGATGTCACAACAATGTAACAATGTCTCAAAGGGATAATCATAGCATTCCAATGGCTGAAGTTTTCAGTCAAGTCCTGAGAAAGGGTTATTTTGTTACCTATTAGGTGTAGATTTGCATGGTTGTCACGTTTGGAGATTGCGGTAAAACTTCTACGATTTATCTGTGTTATAATAATGTTACTAAAACATTGCCTTAATGTTATTAGCATTTTCTATATACCACAGTCCTTAGAATGATGAAGAATGAGTCCCCCACTGCCAGCTACCAACCTCACAAAAGTCTGTAGCTCAATTTAGTGTTGTACTCGAAAATATGTTGTTTTGTCTCTTATTTATCACTTTTTATTAGTTATTGTAAACATACTGATTTGTTTATGTAAATATAGGACACAAGCAACCGATGGCCTTAAAGATGTTTTCATGAATACGGAATGATTCCCAAAGCTTACGTGAAATCTAAATGACTTTAGTTGTTCAGGTAGTTTTCTTTTTCTATCCAAGTAGTTTTCGCTGTTATAATCTCAGTATTTACTCATAGGATATTATATCGTAAATGATTAAATAACATTCAATTGATTTCAACAACAGATATAACCTTTGAAATAATCGAATGTTGGTGGATGTAGGGATACCAAAAATATTCAATAGATTTTTTGTACAACCACCTGTGGGGGCAAGTTTTTCCTGTGGGAGCAAGTGGCAGGTGTTGACACAGTGGTGCTTTTGGCAAGCTGAACATTTCCTCACCTCTATAAGTTACGGTATCTGTCTTCTGTGTGCCAGTAAGCACAGTGCGCTGTGAGGTCTGACTACCTATGTACTCTATACTCGCATATCCAAATGTTAAGTATTTTTTGTTGTATAAAGTCTAAAAGAAGTTGTGTTATTTTGTGACAAATAAATGTTTTGAAGCAGCATTCTGAATATTGTTATTTTTACAGGGTATCATACTATTAAAATAACTAAATTGATTATACAATGTTCCATTTAACATTTTCAGATAAATACTGTGTGTCTGCCATATTGTGTTTTTATACACGATGCAACAATTAACAATTAGACTAAATCAGTCTGTCAAGCATGAGACAAGCATACTATAGACAATACATTCATCATCTATCGGGGGAGGCGGGGACAAATCTCAATTACATGCTTGACTGATGATGACAGTTGTATAATTAGCACAACTGAAAGACTGAACTCAGGTCAAAGGTTAGACTTGATCAAGCAATTTTGTCACAGAGGAGCAGAATTTGTGAGACATGGCATTTATCCATTCAACAGTGGGTTTTAAGAAATTATTAATTTGATTAGTACATCTGCATTCCGCAAATA